GGGGGGCGGGGGGAATCAAGTCTTGCAAGATTTTGGGGTTCCTGCTGATCTTTGCCCTACCTCCACGTTCCACCGGCCCCAAGCCACTTGTCGGGCCCCAGGCTACTAGTCCGGCCCCAGACGTGGGAACACACTGCCACCCAGTGGCCACTGTTCGTCACAGCACCGGAGGTCAGTGGGCAGGCCGGTGGGAGGACGTGGAACACTGCAGCGGAGCGCACACCTAGTGTGTGGACGCTGTGCCTTTGTGGCGTGTCCTCTCGACGCCCGGCCCACGAGAGTGCAGCCAGCAGCTGTCACAGGGCCCACGTGCCCCCTGGCAGAGAGACTGGACAGCGCAGGCCTCAGGAGATGCCTCCCGGGTGCGGCTGGGGTATAATCCAAGTCTGACAAAGGGGAGCACAGTGGACAAAGGCCATGTGTCCTCAGGGAGAAAAGCCACTCCAAAGACAGAGCCTGTCCCTTCTGCAGCTCCCGATGTGGATGTGGCCCTGGCCAATCTCCCCGACTCTTCCCTGGGACCATGATCAAACCCCATCAAGATGAGTTGTGAATATGGGAAGCAAAAGGGCTTGGTGAAGGAGAGGGGAGACCAATAAAGGCAGAGAACCCAGAGGGTGTGTTGTGAGTTAAGGTGGCCTGGTCTGGGAAGAGCACACACAGCCTGGTGTGGGGACGTGGACCTCTGCCTGCAATGTGTGCCGGGCCCTGGACTATGACTCTTTCAGGGGACTTTGACCCGCACAGGAGGGGGGCAATGTTGAAAGAGTGCGGGCGACCTTGCAGGCACACGGTGGTATATACACGTGATGCAGCAGATGCCCCCTCAGGGGCTGCCCGAGCCTGGGTGCAGACAGACATCATCCCGGCCAGACCGAGCAGTGGAGAGTGGGCTATAAGAGACCTTCCTGTTCTTTGCAGTGCCTCAGGGAGATAGTGGGCTGACCCGTCCCGCAGGTCATCAAACAACGTGGATACCTGAAAAAGGGACTGGGAATGAAGAGGGGCAAGAGACGCGAGAAATGGAGGCAAGACAGGAGTCTGATCAAGCCTCGTTTACTGAGCAGAAGGCAGAGGCCTAAATACCCAATGGCGGGCGGGTAACATTACATCATATGCTAATAAAGTGTAACAGGCCGTATCCAATAATCACGCAGCTACCAAATATGGAAGAAATGGCAGGCATCAGTCCTCAAACAGGTCTGCATGCAAATGAGGTGCATTTGGACGGTCCACATGCAAATGAAGTACACTTGGATGCCTGGCGGAGGTGTCCAATGAGCATGGCGGCTGCCTGCCACCGAGCACCAATCATCACAAAGGCCAAACTCAGGCAGGACAATAGGCCAGGGAACATCCGGGAATGGGAAGCTTAAAGACAGCGGACGGGGCAGGCCATGGGCTGAGGGACGTGCAGACTCCCACAGTGGGCACCCTCTAGAGCAGACATAAGAGCCCTTTGAGGCAATCCGAGGCTCTGAGTTGTAGGAAGGTGGCAAGGTCCTTTCCTTTGCGGGTCGCAGGTGGAGAATTAGCGGCACAGGAAGAGAGGACCACGCTGTAGGATGAAGGCCTTAACCTCCCTCAGCAACCTGCAGGGCAACATTTGCACCCTCTGGTTTGCTGGTCAGGGATTGGGGCTGAGGGGTCTTCTCAGCTCCGCCCTGGACCCTGCTCCCCTTAGCCTTGCTTGAAGCCCTCATTCGTTAATGGGGCAGGGGTTCCTGGAACGTTCCGTGGGGGGTACTTACCCTTTCTACTAGATAAGCTCCTATGTTTTCTGGGTTTATTAAGTCATCACCCGGGGTTCATTGGGGCCCAGGCAAGGGCTTCCCCCTTCCTCCTGCAAGAAGCGGGCTAGGGAGGACATAAAAGCAATCTATAGCCATATATAGATATAGATATATGTGAAGCAGGTCACACCTTGGAGGAAATTCCTTTTCAGTTGATTGGCTGCTCATAGCAAATCTCATCAGGGAGGTGATTACATTCTATCAGGATTCACCATGGGGCATGACTATATCCTTACTGCCAAACCACTAAGAATCCTGGCCCGATCCAAGTGGACACACCTGTCCCCATCGCCCATGTGCTATCTCACCCAGGCATCCAGAAGGGGAAGTTGAGCATACATACTTCCCCTTTGAACATACTTGGGAAGTTCTGGCTCACAAGATGAAGGCTGAAGCCCTAGTCATTTGAAGGCTTATCTGGGGCTGGACGACCTACTTGCAAGAAGTCCCCTCATGTGACTGTTAGCCAGAGGTCTGTTTCTCCTCACATGGGCCTCTTCGCAGGGCAGCTCACAGCACAGAAGCTGGCTTCCCTCAGGCCAGGACAAAGGAAGTGCTCCTAACGGGATCTCAGAAACAGGGTCCCAGCACTTCCACCCTGTTCTGCTAGTCACACACAGTCCAATCCTGGCACAGGGGCTGGGGGGGCAACATAAACGTGGGAACGGAACAGGTAGGAATCATGGGGGGCCAACGTGCAGCCTCTCTGTCATAGCAGGGAACCGCGACTGAAGGAGACATAGACCAAGATGGGGGAAGGGCGTTCATCGACTCCTTCCTTGGCCCTGTGGTCTGGAAGTTCCAGAAACCAAATGAGAGGCAGGCCTTTGTCAGGGAAAAGTGTGTCAGGCAAGAGCTCATTGAGACTTGTGTTGACATTCATCCATGTCCCCACTTCTGAACTAACTGGTCTTCTCAGCAGGCCCCCAAGTTCCCTGCCACATGTTTCCCTCCAGACATGAGCTTTAGGGTTCAGGCTTGAGCCCTTGCTGGCATCCTTCCACAGAGGAGATGAATAAGCAGCCATGTTCCCCATTTAGGCCCAGCAGGGCAGAGCTAGCCCTTTGAAGGGAATGGGGTTGAGGCTGGGCTGGGCTCTGGGCCCCAGTCTGTGTTGACAGTTTCTGTAAGGGGCTGCAGGTGTCAGCTGGCTGAGCCTGGCCCAGGCGCCCAGTGTTACCCCGTTCACCTGAGGTGGGAGGGGGCACCATTCCAAAAGCGGTTGTGGAGTTCTCAGCCCTGTCCCCCACCTCCCACCCCGCCTTTGCAAAGGGTGTCACTAAAGTCACAGATGCCTCCTTGTAAGGAGGTCACCGCAGGATTGCACCTGGGGCTTCCCACTTCCCCACCCTACCCGCCGCCCCCCTCTTCACACAGCCTGCTCTCCTGAGCTCTGCGAGTGCCCTCCCAAGCTGCTGTTTCCTTCCTAGGCCTCCTTCAGCACAGCAAGCTCCTCCACCAGGTCCCCCACCCCCACCCCATGTGCCAGTCACCGGGCTGGGAGACCACTGGACTTCTGTGGTCTGGATGCCGTGGCCGTGGTCCTCTTGCTCCTCCGCCGTTGCAGGAGAAGGAGTCTCTCATCCATTCTCCGGCCTTCCTTCGGCTAGAGGAGAGGCGAGAGAGAAGGTGGGGCAATCAAGTGATTGGAGCCAAGGAAATCGGTTCAAATCCCACGTCGACCAGTTATGATCACTAGCTCTCGGGGACCCTTAGTTTGCTGTGTGAGCGAAAGCATGCCGTGTGCCCTACCGTGGTCTGCCCATGCAACCGAGCACACAGCCCCATCAGGCCCACAGCAAGGATCACTGCTCACTAGAAGCTCCTTGTCCCCTCCTCTATCCCCCTTGAGGAAATCCCGGGAGAGTCTGTTAGAAGGGAACTTTATTTCTACAGAGAACCCGAGTAGCCTTCTCTGATTCTCAAGAGGAAGTCACGTGTGGCAGACACCAGAGCAACGCGATACAAACAGCCCAGATCCTGACACGGAACCACCTACCTGCAGGTCTCTTTCTTTCTTTTAAAAAAAATCATTTTATTGGGGGCCCTTACAGCTCTTATCACAATCCGTCCATCCGTCCCCATCCATTGTATCAAGCACATTTGTACATGTTGCCTTCATCTGTTCAAAGCGTTTTCATACTACTTGAGCCCTTGGTATCAGCTCCTCATTCCCCCGTCCTCCCTCCCTCCCTCATGAACCCGTGATAATTTATAAAATCCACCCCTCCCCCATGTCTTACACCAACCTCTGTCTCCCTTCACCCACTAGTCTGTTGTCCATCCCCCTAGGAAGGGGTTATAGGTAGATCATTGTGATTGGTTCCCCCTTTCTCCTCCCACCTTCCCCTTACTCTCCTGGTATCGCTACTCTCATTATTGGTCCTGAGGGGTGTATCTGTCCTGGATTCCCTGTGTTTCCAGCTCTTATCTGTACCCGTGTACTGCTCTGGTCTAGCCAGATTTGTAAGGTAGAATTGGGGTCATGATAGTGGTGGTGGGGGGTGGGGAGGAAGCATTAAAGAACTAGAGGAAAGTTGTATGTTTCATCTTTGCTATACTACACCCTGAACTGGCTCATCGCTTCCTTATGACCCTCCTGTAAGGGGATGTCCAGTTGTCTACAGATGGGCTTTGGGTCTCCACTCTGTGCTACCCCT